TGTTATCTGAGTAATTATTTCTGATTTCATTTTTCCCAGATCCTCTTTTGTTGCCAGTTCAGACTCTAGGTGGTTGAGTATCAGATTTATCCATCTCGTTTCCCTCTAGAGTTCCTGTAGGTGATCTGGAAGTCTGTTTTTTGAGGTTTGTTTATGTGTCTTCTCATTTCCACGGTGGGGGAGGGGTGCTTCTGGCACCCACACGGCTCACCTTCTCTGCCCTAAGAGCATGGGATGGCAGCGGGGGAGCTTCCTTCTGGGTGCTGGGACTGGCTCAGCTTCTCTGCCTTAGGAGCCTGGGATGGTGGCGCGGGAGCTTCCTTCCAGGTGCTGGGATTGGCTCACCTCCTCTGCCCTAGGAGTGTGGGATGGCGGCGGGGGAGCTTCCTTCTGGGTGCTGGGACTGGCTCACCTTCTCTGCCCTAGGAGCATGGGAAGGCAGTGGGGGAGCTTCCTTCCAGGTGCTGGGACCGGCTCAGCTTCTCTCTGGAACAATTCTTAAATGGTCAAACTATAGGTCCAGCTAAACAAAGGGAAATATTTTCTTTTAACTTTAAAAAATATCATTATTATACTTAAAAGAGAAATAAAAAATGATTTTTATTACTGAAATACATCTCACTTGAAAGTTTCTTCATATATATGTACATAGCAACTAGGATTTAAAAATGATCAAGTCCTTTTGCCTACCATGATATGACCACCAAAGGTATCATAATCAAAAAACTGGCACTGATTTTCAGCATAACAGGAGTCCTCCATTTCTCCTTGGATCACAATATTCCGGGTGAGAATTCCAACCTCTGCTCTCATGTCTACCCCATCTATGATCTCTCCCATGTGCAGGAACTGAGGAGTTTCTGGTTGATGTGGCAAAGGAAAAACAATATCAGAACAATAACAAAAAAGAAACACTTCAAAAGACATTCTTCTTTCACTCTATAGCTTTAAAACATTATCAGCAACTTATCATCTACTCTTTCTCTAATACTTATAAATCACAGACTCCTAGGAAGGGGCGATTTTAAAGATGATCTAGTCCAACCACCCACCCAAAGCCTGAATCCTCATTCCTCCTTGTCCTGCCAATTCTCAAATTCAGGCACTGCCAGAGTGCTTGCTCCTTTCTGAAGTAGCTCAATCCTCCCTTGAACAGCACTAATGATTGGGATCTGCCTAATAATCCAGTCTTTCTCTCTAGTTCCTGTAACCTGAGAGCATATGAAGAACCAACTGCAGGTGAGTCCACAAGGATATATGCTTTTGCACATGTTGCTATCAGAGTATCAATTTTTCATGCTGCTACTTCAAAGCTAAAGTAATCTGCATTTGGACAACAGCCATACAAAAATGACTGTCTTTTCTTTCCCATTTACTTAAATATCTAATAGCATTATAAATTCTTTTAAATTTCTGCCTTTATTGGAAGTTCATAAGCACTTTAAAAATGACTTTTTCTGATATCCTTATTATATAAACTCAGGAAAGAAAAATACAAATAAATCACATTAGCTAGGTTCATGTAGGCTTAATCTCATGTAGGCTTATTGACAAGAATGGGTATTTCAAGAAAAACAGTAATAGCATCATGACTTTGGGGTGGTTTCTGGCTTTTGGGTTTTGGTTTATTTTTGTGTGCTACTTCTGCACTGTATTATCAAAAGATGGAGCCGGGTGTGATGGTGCATGTCTGTAATCCCAGCTACACAAGAGGCTGAAGCAGGAAGATTACAAGTTTGAGGCCAGCTTAGGCAACTTAGTCTGCCCCTGTCTCACAAAAACAGCTCAGTGGTCCCTGGGTTCAATCCTCAGTACTGCAGGGGCGTGGTATTTTTCAAGATTATAGTAGAAAGTAAAAGTCTTCTGAAAAATCCCTATTTGGTTCCACTTTTTTTTTTTTTTTTTTTTTTTTTCCCTGGTACCAGGGATCGAACTCGGGTCCTTGTGCTTGTGCAGCAGGTGGCGAAACCACTGAGCTAAATCCCTGGCCCTGGTTCCATTTTAAATATTAGTGAGATCTATTTTTACTAAACAAAACCTCAAAAGCCCTGGAATTATTTTTAATGCAGAAAGACTTTTACTTCAAAATGGATCTAGTTGACAGGTGGTCTTACTATTATGTGGTAATGGGAATTAATAAAGAATAGACTGGAAAGGGCCTTGGAAATCTAGCTGTTTTTCTTTTTTTAAAAAACAAAGAAACTGAGGCACAGAAACACTGATCTGCCTGCTATGTATAATTTATAGCAAAAAAAGTTGCACAATGCTCTGGGATCCAGAGTTGTTAAACTTCACTGCTGAGACTTTTTGTTTTGTTTTGTTTTGTTTGAGACAAGGTCTCACAATGTAGTTCAGCCTGCTCTTTGACTCACTATGTACCCCAGACTGGCCTCGAACTCAGCAATCCTCCTGCCTCAGCCTCCAGAGTGCTAGGATTACAGATGTGTGCCATATCCCAGCTAAGGCTGTGATGACTAATGATGATACTATCAGCTGCTGCTCCTGGTGGCGGTGACGAATGGGAAGAAAATGACTCTACCAGTCAAGTCCCAAGAGAAGAGTGTGTTTCCTATGCAGTATTCCAAGCTTCTGATACCTTTCACCTTGACCTGAAAACAGCTACACTCAGGACAGGGGAGAAGAGTGAACTCCTCGGCTTGGTACATAGAATAGTCTGTGCTTGCAACCACAATCCGGTCTCCAGGCTGCCAACTACAAACATCATCCAGCAGATGCAACTTCACTCCATCCACAATCTCCACCCGGAAACCTGACAGAGAAACCCCTAAACCAAAAAAAGAAAGGAGAAAAAGTGCATTAATAATTTGTGTTTTTTTTTTTCTAAAATCAATCCTCTCTCTGGTTCACAAATCAAAAGTTAAGGTAAACATAATTCAGTAAATTTTTACTAATGCTAACAATGAGCCAGTCAATCTGCAGATATAAATGATAAAAACATGAAAATATAAATCCCAGCCCTCAAGAGAGCTCCATGCATCACTAGCCATGATACAAGACATCACTTAGCAACTATTCTTTTAAATCTCTCAAGTTCCAGTTTTCAAATCCCTTGTATTTCAACTGAGTAATAAAACTGTAATACTGTCCCCAATCTTAATATGTGACAAGAACATAAGAACATAAGAAGCCTTGCTTCCTTCCGCTCTTATCTACCCATCAAGATGCTGTCCACCTTTTTGTAAAGTCCAGGCAGCTCTCTAAAGACTTCTCAAACATCCTGCCGGAAGTAACTTCTCTCCCCGGTCTTCTCATGCACTGTCTCAGGTATTATTTACTCCTTCCCAACAGAAGGGAGGAAGACAGCGCACCTCCCTGCAATGTGCATCAGGGCAGGCAGTACGTGCAGCCAACTGTATATTCACTACTCCTTGGTACAGATCCACAGGAGTCTGCTGAATGGTGAATAAGACCCATTTGATCTGCAATGTGACCTGAGGTCACATGATGGTGGCCCTGTCCAATTCAGTATTTTTCTGGGATGATGATGATTATTCAATCTGGTAACTGCTAAATGACAGCTCTCTCCCAAAATCTTTGAAATTCACAACTGGTTCTCAGTCTCCTGGACCCCTTCCTATTTGCAAGAGATCTGTCCTCTTGGTTCCTTCTATCCATCCTCTATTCTGCTCTTTGTTGTACTTTGCTGTATTCAAATGAGATACTATATGGGAGTGATGGCGAACCTTTTAGAGCTTTCAATGATAACAGCCCACTGCAGCACATGTGCCATAGGTTTGCCACCATTGCTATATGGTATTTAAGCTTGTGTGTCTGATTCATTTCACTCAACAGTATATTTTCCAGGTGTATTCATTTTCCTACCAATGTCTCAAACTTGTCCTTCTTTAATTTAATAACGCTACTTGTCCAAGTAGCATTCCATTACGACAGAGGGCAAGCAAAGAGAGGGAGATATGCCATGTACAGGAAGCTAATAACCTCAATAAATATAAACATTATATCTCATAAACATGACCTAAGGTTGATAATATCAACAAGAACAAAAATGGGGAATGGGGATTTAGAGGAGGAGGGAGGGAAGTGGGTAGGAAAGGGAAGGGGATTATTGCAAAACAAACTGTATTATGTACAGTGCTCACTCCCCAAAATGACTGTAAACTTCATATACTGCAAATATGTACTAACAACAACAACAACAACAAACTGGCTCCCAATTACATAATTAGGAACTGAAAAACTAACCCAGCTTATTCATAACTTTCATTTCTTTTATATGCAACCGGTATAGAAGCATTTCCTGCTTCTAAATGTCCATGATATAAGCTGTCATGATCCAAAAGCTAATCTCATAGTAATGTGCAGCTACTTATAACACCAGTGGAGAAGGGAAAACTCCCCATTGTCCCACTGTAAAGATAACTATTTAATAAATATAGGTACTTCGCTATCATTCTGCCCAACTACATAACTACCCTGGAACTAAGATTCTGACTACAAGGCACAACAATGTAAGCTAAAGAATACATTTACTGAAGTTAGGGGCATCAAAACGAAGAAAATTCAGACAAGGAACAAGGAATACTATAGAGAGCCTTATAGTCTTAAGCCAGCCATCCAGATAAAATTAACATGGGCAAACTCTTGGATTCTGTTCTTTCAGACTCTAACCTGCTCTGCTTTTATATTTTTGCTAAGTATACACACACACAAAATACCTAATAAACATTATGGGGTTTTTTTATGTTTCTTGCATCTAAATACTAAAGCCTAAAATGGGATTTTTATCCAAGTAGTAATATAAATAATAATCCCATAATAATACGTAAGATTTATTGGGATTCACATGAATAACCTTTAAAAAACAACTATAAGAGGTTTAAAAAATTATTATATTCCTTAAAGATAAAGCAACTCAAGGCCTGAGTTTGAATAACAACTAAAACAGCTGCTAAATAGATAGCATCCAGAATTGAATTTTAACCTACTGCCAGAACCCAGTGTTTTAACCTCTATATTATACTATCTTGTCTTTCAATAAAAAAAGGCAGCTTAAAAATGAAGATTTTAAAAATTCATGGAAGTAACAACAATCATTTCCAAAATGTCAGGTTTTACAAAAAAAAAGGAAGAAGAAAACTCCTCCTCTAAAAAAGAACTAGGAAACAGTTTCACATAAAATTTCAGTACTTCTTCAAAAAGATGTCTATTAGATAAATAAGTTTTGATTTGAAAGATCATTTATCTGTTAAAAAAAAATAAAGTTAAGTCAGAAAGATCGTACCATTCAATAATTCTTCACTTTTTTCTTGCTTAGAAGAAAATTATGCCTAAGATTATCTTTTATTGGCACTACGGATTGGAAATTTAGAAGGAAGTAAGTTCAGTCTCTCTGCTTCCTGGAGAGAATTTCCACCTCCTTCAGAGATAAGAGTCACTGAACACTGGATGCACACAAAAACCTATGACACACAGTGAGGAGATCCCTCGTCCAGGAATGAGCAGTCACTGGTAATGTGGAAATGAAGATGACATTTCCTACAAGGGAAATGTTGAATCAAGATCTGCCAGTAACTATCCCCTTCCTGGAACCTCCCTGGAGATGTGAGCAATAAATACTCTGAGGAACAAACCCCTTTTGCCAGAGACAACCATGGTGTGGTAGAAGCAGCAATAATCTTGAGAAGGAGAAAACTGGAGCTTCACTCCCTAATCGATACCATGTTCTCACCCCAAATCCAGAGGTTTTCTTGGAGGCAACATGAGAAAGTTCCTGTTACATTTCAAGGACTTGGTTTGTTTTAAAGCAAAAAGACTTTCTTTAATCACAATGATACAAAATAAACCATTATAATGCAAGTCATGTTTGCATCATGACCTCTTATTATACACACTGCTAAAAACTTCACATTTGATACTCTTAGCAGCCCTATGTGACGGTTTCTAGTATCCCCATTTTTCAGATGAGGAAACAGATTAGGAAGTAAAATCAGTAAGTGAAAGAGCTGGGGCAGGAGCCCAAATATTCTGTCACCAGAAATTCCTACTAGTAAACACTTTGCCACACTGCTGCTCAATACACAGGTAGGACCCCAATTTAAATAAAGCTTTCTGGGTAGTTACAGATACAATTAGCACCTCTTCATTTTATTCATTTCATGTTAATATGGTATCGTATTAATTGGAAAAGAAAGGTGGGGGCAAGCACCAACAGGAAGCTGCCATCTACAGCTGGAGCTAAAAACTCTTAATGGCAAGATAAATAATTTAAAAATTTTACAGTTGAACATTCCTTCAAAGAAAAAAGTCAGGAGCTCCCTAAACAACCAGTGCTAGTCTTAAAAGATGGACTCTAATAAAAAATTATGTTGAAGAAAATTTAAAGACATAAGATAACTATTTTAGGAAAACAAGTTAAAACAAAATGAGGGAAGAATGTACATTAAGATTTTTTAAACCCTAGAATATTGTGCAATAAAATAATTATCCCTGAATAACAGGATTGAAGATTAATTTTTACTTTGTGCCTCACCTGTTTTCCATTTGTCCATCTGTCCAAAGAGAAATGTATTAGTTGGATCAGAGGGAAAAGCTTGCTAAGGAAATGAAAAGTTTGTTTACCCAGCCTGTGTTCAAAAGTAGTATTTGCTGGTATATCAGCATGAAGAGAAGATTCAAAGATTAAAATTGTGTTCACCACCAAGGCACATAACCAAAGACAGCTCACCCTGTCACATTCAAATTGGTTCAGCTGGCACCAAATCCAGGAAGCAAATCTATTTCTACCAGCTAATCACATTTTATAACTCAAATATCAAGAACAAAGTTCAACTGGGGATACCCAAATGAGAATAGATCATTCTCTAATCCAGAAAGAATTCTTGAGTGTGAAAGACTTAAATACAGCAGGGAAACAAGTTTCAACTTCACTGGTAGAGAAATCCAACCAGGCAGACTGAGATCTGAACACAGTATTACTTTAAAAAAAAAAAAAAATCTATCACAATACTCACCAACACCTTACAAGAGTGTAAATTACACTTGCCTACCTTTGTCCCATTCACTGTAAGCTGTCACGGAGAACTTCTGACCATCCACAGTATAAAATTCTCTTTGAGCAAGAGCCTTCCCACCACTACTATGGTTTTCATAGTATCTCACAGATTCATTGCAAGAAGCACTTCCGCCATCAATGACACCAACTAAAGCCCAAGGTTGCCTAGAAGGAAAAAAAGTGTATCCACATTTGATTACTTGTCATGGTGTTAACCCAAATCTTTGACAGAGATGTGATGGTGGGATGCTATTTAACTGTTGTGTTTCATTTTTGCTGATCCATAAGCCTCTTTTCCCATGAGGTTGCAATCCTAAAGTTTGACTGAAAAAAATCAACATCACAGAAGTAAACACACCTGATTTTCAAGTACTTGTTTATCCAGCTCTGCAATAGGTGAAACATAAGGACTTCAGTTAATCATGGGCTTCCTTCCTTGGTACACACTCATCTCATACAGCACACACTAGTCCCACTCAGGGTCTTTCCCTCAAAATGATTATCAACTTCTCTTTTAAATTATTCTCTGCAGTGTTCTCAGAAACCCAGCTAATAGAACCACATAGGGCATTTCAGAAATACATAATACATACCAAGGTGCAGATCAAACACAACTCAATGCAATCATTGCATCTAAAGGCCAGGCTCAGTAAGAATATGTTTTTAAAGTTCTCCAGGAAATCTGAAGGATCTAGACTTGGAACCACTGAGTGTGAGCAATGATTCTCAAACTTCAGTCAGCCTCAGAATCACCTAGCAGTGGTAGTGCTGTAATAGGCTTGTAGCACTGAAAGCTATAACAGGTTCACCTTTTAGAGGGACCAGATTGCTAGACCCCCCACTTCAATCACCAGGGCCTCTTACCCTTTGAGATCCTGATCTAAGATTGGCACCAGGCATCAGGATTTTTTAAAGTCCCCAGATGTGTGGAAAAGGTTGAGAACCACTGAGTTAAGAGGTTTCTTAGCATTCTTAAACCTTCAGAATCACTCTTCAAACAGGCTTTCATTTTACATACTATTGTCTATTTGGTGAAAGAAATGTGTTTTAAATGTCATTTGACTTCTGCAATGCTAAATATCTGAGGGACTTGTTCAAGCTTGTGGCAAGAATCCATCAAAGAAGAAAAGACAACAAAAAGCCAGAATTTTTGCCTTAAGGTTCTGGGTTCACAACATAAGAAAAATATTAACTTCCTACCTTGAGGGGAAAAAATGCCAAATGTAATCTATGCCAGACAGATGGCTAAGTATTCACAGTTAAAAATGAACCAAAGCTTGCGCACACCCTTAAAATTCCACAGCACCCCTGTGCAGATTAGCTACTCTTTGGCTGACAGTGTTTTATAGCTGTTTATACCCTTCACACAGCCAAAAGGATCGAATACAGAATGTCTCAATTTATTATTTCATATTTCAAAGAGAAAAAGAAGAATATCACAGACATCCTTTATTTGCCACAACTGTCTCAGTAACTGTAAAACAGTATTTCAGTCTACTGACATTATCTCCAAAACACTTCCACTTCCCTCCTCCACTTGAGGGAAATTTCAACACACTAGAACATTGCCTTTAAAGGGGTGTGTGTTTATGTACACAAGCGATAATGTCAGTGGAATGGAGCATTAGTGAAAGCTCATAATTCTAATTCCTCCATCAAAACAGTGACAGCATTTCAAAGGAAATTTAGAAAGCAGTCTAGTAAGGTGAGGAAAAATAGTCACACTCAAAATTGTCATAACTGGCTATCATGCAAATCTAGAAACAATGACAAGGTGAGAAAATAGAAGCTGAAATCCTTGACACTACCAGATAATGAATTACAGTGGGTGTTATGGCTTAGATCATCAATGTCCCCAAAAGGCTTAGGAGTTGAAGGATTGAGCCCCAGATGATGGTGTACTGGGAGAACCTTTAGGAGGCAGGGCCGTAAGTCATTCAGGGCATGCTCTGGCAGGGCATACTGGGACCCAGTCCCTTCATATCTGACCCCCTTTACTGGCTGCCATGAGGTAGGTAGCTTTGCTTCACCACATACTCCTCCCGTGATATTCTACACTGCCATAGGCCCAGTGTAATGGGGCCAAGTGACCATGGACTGAAACCTCTCCAACTATGAGCCAAAAGAAATATTTCCTTCTTCATAAGTTGATAACCTTAGGTATTCTGTCACAACAACAGAAACCTAACATAGTAAGTGCCTAAGTCTGAAAGGACCATGCTTCTATTCCAGGTCTGTAAGTTATAGAAATACATGTACATGTTCACTAAGAGATGAGTAAAGGAATATTTAGAGAAGCACTTCCTATATCAGATCCAAACTGGGAAGCCATTCAGGTGTCCACCAGTAAATAAATTATGGTATATTCATATAATAGAAAATAAACAACAAAAATGAGCCTGCACTACACAAAATGACATGCATGACATTGAAATGATGCAATGCTGAATGTCAGAACACAAAGAAGCCAGACACAAAATATATTGTCTGCTTCAATTTATGATCTTCAAAAACAGGCAAACTTGGGGCTGGGGATTTAGCTCAGTGGTTTTGGCGCCTGCTGCATAAGCACAAGGTCCCGAGATCGATCCCTGGCACCAAAAACAAAAAAATACATTAAAAAACAAAAACAGGCAAACTGAACTTTAATGTATCTCACAAATGCAAGAGAATGGTTATCTTTGTTGAGGAAGAAAGCAATCAGTTCACAGCCGTTTAGGAGGGATTCTGATGGCAATGTTCTATTTCTTGGTTATACAAGTATCACATTAAGCTAAATCATTAAGCCCTACATTCTTGTTTTTTTCTTCTTCCTTTTTTGTATACATACTACAAAAAAGAAAGAACCCCTTCAAGATTTTGCTCATGGTACTCCCTTACACAGAATACTTTTCTTCTTTGCTGTTTACACTATATATTTCTGAAGATCCTCCAGGTTTCTTGCCTTTGGGATACCTGCACCAATAGGTCAATAGGCCAATATATGGACTCTTTCTACTTATGTTCCCATTCCAGACTGTAACTGTAGCCAATGTCATACTGTATGATTACCATCTATGTATGTCTCTTTTTACTCACTAGATTAAATGAGCACTGAGACAGTGTCCTTGTCTAACATTGATGGACATCCAGCACTTAGCATCTCCTGAAAAAAAAAAGGTGAATAAAAGCCATTTCTAAAAATATTACAAACCCCTTTTCTTCACTAATTTTTGTCTTCTAGAATTTCTATAGATAATATTAAATTCAATAACCTACCACCATAGGAAAAAATAACCAGATCACTTCAGTACGTAGATTTTGAGGTCCTCATACTGCTCACTGCAGATATTTCCCAACTTTACTAAGAACATTCAGCAGAATTATAACTTCTGTTTTTTGCATTAAACATTGCACCAGCTACTTCCCCTTGACTCAAGACTGCATTAGGAACTCATAATTAGTAGATGGCACATAGGGCTGGGGATTTAGCTCAGTGGTTCTGCTGCCTGCCTCACAAGCACAAGGTCCCAAGTTCGATCCCTGGTACCAAAAAAAAAACCAACAAAAAACAAGAAAGTAGATGGCACAAAATCCATGGAGTACACATGAATTCTGTCTAGATTTTTCAGTTCTCCCATGTTTTCCTTCCTCACATATGCCAGAACTCCATAGGTCTGAGCCAGTCAAACAAGTGGATTCAAATTAGCATATAAAAGATTCTGAAAGAAAACAGAGCATGCCCCACCCCTTTGGGCTTTTATGACAAGTTTAACATTTTAGCAAGGAACTATGCCCTAACCTGTCAACACCTACATTGCCTCAATTAGCCAGCATATAATGAAAGGAGGAAGTTTCTTCCAAAGTCCATTATCTTTAAACTGTTTGATCCTTTTTTCAGTACACTGCTATTCTTTTCAAATGTGACAGGAGAGTTCACAGAAAACTTCATAAATCAAAGCCAAGAGCTTTTATATTCCATATACAATTGTCCAATCCCATGTTTCAAGGCAAAAGCAAACCCAAGGGGAGTGGCCAGGCTGTGGGGCGCTGTGGGTTCTTTCCCCATCCTCTCTCCTCTCACACAGACAGGGCTCTAACTCAAAGCTGGAGAGAGGAGACCAAGGCATGCCTACCTGTAGCCCAGTCCTTGGATCAGCTTACTTCCCAATCGATCCTGGATCATCTGGATAGTTCCTTGTAAGAGGTTCTTGACTGCTGAATCTCCGACAGCTATGGCAACAATTCGTCCTGGATCCTGGACTCTCAGAAATTCCTGAAGTTTCCGACTCTCATTTTGGTACTCGTGAGTATCAAACTTCACACTTTCTAAAATTTTGGCTGTGTCTTGGTCAATGACCCTCACATTGAGACCCCGGGAAAAGTCCTTCTCAAAGGTATAGGACCCAAAGGGCAAGCCTGAGGAGTTCAGAGTCCTCGCCAACAACGTCCAAGATGTCTTCCGGGCCCCATGTAACTCCAGTGTCCCACCAGCTTCTACACCAATAAACTTTTTGCCAAATGTTGGCATACTTTCACCTTCATCTGACTTGCCATACAAAGCAATTGTCACTTTGGATTTATAGCGGCATTTTTCTGCTCCAATATGAAGCGCCCCACCATCCTGGATCAGGATGTAACGAGTCCTCAGAGTAATATTTCTGGATCCATCTTTATCATCCCCAAATACAAGCAGTCCTGCAGGAAACAACACTATGGTAAGCCAACTTCTAAAACATCTTCCTGGGATGCAGAAAAATCGATTTCACTTTAAAGAGGAAAAAATTACACTTGCACAATTAAGGTGGCAAAAATTTACTAAAAGTCTGTTTAGAAAAATAAACTAGTCTCAAAACAAATTTTTTTTGAAATGAAGAGTTAATATCTCAACATAATAAAGATGTCCATGAGTATGAATTCCAATTTATTTACTTTAGAGGTAAATTATTTCTAGAAAAAAATACCTAAAAATCTACAAATTTGAATCTCAGGTTTATATAGAGTAACCGGGGTTAACTCTTTCCACCAGCTGTAACAAAGATTCAGCTATGAGAAATCACTTGTCTTGTTTCTTTGTCCATAAAGAAAGGTCTTGAGTTATTTCTAAGGTCCTTATATCTCTTGAATTCTATGGTTTGAACTTAGGAACTAAACACATCCCCACAGTTAGTGACACTAAAGGATACTGAGTCTAAGAATAGCTTTCTACATAAGGAACATCAAATAACCTTCACAATCAAGAGCAAGCTTGTGGTTCCCATAGTCAGGGACTATTACCCACCTCCATCCTGAATGACTATAGAATTCACTGTGGCATCTGAGGTCAGACGGAACAAATCACCCTCCTTGATGATAACTTGTTTTGCAGAATCTTGCCCTGGATCCCAGTTCCTGAGATGGGGGTTTTGATCTGGGCAGTTCTCTATAAAACAACACAACACTGATATTCCATCCAACCCAAGCAAATGCCAAAGTAGCCTAATCCAAGTATTGTCATCACTGAAAACAGATCTCCAAGTAAGGTGCTGAAATATTTTGATTTCCTGCTATTAGGATGGAAAATTTACCCTTCTCAACCACTAGAAAAATGATGCTTTAAAAAAAAGTTTTACCACACAACTAAGTTGCTAGCATACAGTTCAGGTCAAACTGCACAAGGTAAAAATGGAGTTCCCCTGAACCATCTACTGTGGAGATAAATCAACAGCAAGAAGAAAAATTATGAACTGCCCTGGAATTCACACTAGAAAGCTATTTTAGAAAAGAAAATATGGGTCTGGGTATGTAGCTCAGGGATAGAGCACTTACCTAACATGCATGAGGCCCTGGGTTCAATCCCCAGCACCACCAGAAAGAAAAACAAACACAACACACTGGTAAATGAAAATTGCTAAATAAGATGTATAGTACATATCTACAAGCTACTGCCTGTGCACAGTAAATCACGAAGTTGGCAATACCAACACCTCTTCCAAAGCAGGGACTGAAAATGTCAGTGTTCAGCCATGTATACTTTCCTAAGAAAAGTGCAGAAGCATCACTTCTCAATTTCAGATATGAGGGAATAACCAACCGGAAGAGCCAACCCCAAGATTGCTTAGCAAGCTGAGTGATATGCAAGTTTCTCCTTTAAGGAATGAGTTTGTTGTCTTGTAAGATTCCTCACTAGAATTAGAATTTGCCTGTTCAATAGGTGATAATGAAACCACAGCTATTTACCCATGGAATCCTTTAATTTTTATCAACTAATGACCAAGTATTTGTTGATTATTAATTTGTCCACTTTGAATTAGATAACTCAAATTTCCAAAGCACAGACTGAGCTCATATTCCCTGGGATTTTGTAAGCCAGCCTGGGAGAAAAAGCTATCATGTATTTAATAATTAAATGTTGAACAATGTGGTGGTTATATTAGGTGTAAATGACCCCAAACCAAGCAGGGATGAAGCTAAAGTAACTGAGACAGCTTCACAGAGTGACCCTAACCCAGACCCTAAAGAATGGATAGTATTTAAATAAGCAGAGCATCAAAGACAAATAAGAATATGAGAAATATCTCAAATATCCCCTGCCATTGAAGCTGGCTTACTCAAGTTAGAATAGCAAGACATCTGAATTTAAACTAGCAAAGGGAGGAATAAGCAAGATACACTTGAGAACCATTAGAAGAAAGACTTTTGTTAAGGCAGAAGGTACAAACCGAAAACTATATAATAATTAATTCTGGGTCCTCATTTGGAACTTGCATAACCCCACTGCAATCATATTTCAAAACACATTGCCCTAGGCTTCTGCTTCCTCATAGAGGTGACAGTGACTACAATTAAAATTAGTCTCACTATCCTTGGCAATTATTTCATGGACTTCATTTTTCTCACAGAATTACAAAACTGATATTTAATTCTTTGGATAAATCAATGATCATCACTATTATACTATTAACAATCCTGAGAGGGGGTATAGCTCAGTGGTAGAATCCTTGCTTAGCATGCATGAGGCCCTACATTCCATCCTCACCACTGCAAAAAATAAACAAAAGTAAAAACAATCCTTAAACTTTTCTTCCCATCAAAGAAATAAGAAATCTCAAAATTTTTCTGACTTAATACTGAGGATTTCTTGAACTTTTCTTCAGCCTTTGTAACATCTAGCTGGAGTTCTCCTTGATGTTATTTAGAGGCAAACCCATGTCCTGGGTAACAAGCACTGTACTGAGCCGCAGAGAAGGAAATCCAGGCCTTTGAGATCTAGAGCCTGTTACTGTAGTTACATAATTTCTCTTAATTGTTTATAATTATTTCCCGGGAGAACACACTTCACCAGAACAATCACCAAAAGTTCTAGTCCGTTTCCTTCTAGTAAAATCCACTTAAAGAGAAAATGTGTGGTGTGCAGAAAGCACTGAAAAATAGCTCAGCCAGCTCCGCCTTCCTGGCTGCCCACTTGCAGAGCGGTGAGTGCTTTGTAACAGCAAAAACCACAGTGAGGCTGGCCCTGAAATATTTCAGCATACCAGAGCTTTCCACTGATAATCTGCACTTATACTGCCAAGATGTGAAACTAAAGAATGCTGATTCAAGGAACCACAGCAGCAATTCAGTGTTTTAGGAAAGCCACAGCTTTAAGCTTTGATTTCCCACCAGTCTAGCATCCCTTTACTGCAGATTCCTTGAGAAGTACGAATCAACAGCAGTGAACTTGGTTATTCCACTGGGAGGAGGAAACAGGAAGTTAACACAGTACTACTACAAGCAATGGAAATCAATGTTATGAATTCATAATGTGGTTTACTTGGCTGGGTCAACAAAGATGTTAATATGAACATCTCTCTTACTTTTAGTCTATTCTCTTAGAAATATTGGCACTATGTCCCCGACTCCTACCCCCAGTCCACATGGACCGTAAAACCTATAAAATCCCTAAAGCACCTATGAAAACTGAACAGCATTTCTAAGGTTGTAAGTAATGCAATACCTCTCAACTGTTATATCTACGTAAAGAGGAATCTACTGCCGCCTGCCTTGCAGGTGCAAAGACCCGAATTCGATCCCCGGTACAAAAGAAAAAAGAGGAATCTTATTTGACGAAAACCTATTGCAGACTTTATTTTTTTAAAAAACACAGACAAGTACAGTACCCAATCCAGGCTGTAGTAGTGTGATTCTATCACAGTCCTGAGCCCTGATTTTTAACAGATACACTTTCTTTTATGAGGCAGCTCTTTATCTGTATCATTATTGAAGCTGACTGGCAACAAATTTCTTCAGAATCATTTGAAGTAAATATATTATTGTTAAATTGGTCATGTGGTTTCTTGAAAAACAAAGACCATTTAAGAAAGTAAAACCTCCCTACATGATATTTAACTAAGAAGTAACGGGTGATTTTTAGAAAAAGCTATCAGAAGTTACACATCGTGATGGAAATTTTCCTTCAAGGATATACACTGTAACTCAAAAATATTTACAGTCCTCTTTTGGAACTGTATTTACCAAATCCATTTCAAACCACAAAATACAAGTATTACTTTCAGTCACTTAATTTTTAAAAATCAAATCTAGTTTACCACTACAGTTATGACTTCAAAAATAAAACCTTTGGCAGTCCAGAAGAATTCAGTAAAGACTCCTAAAAGCATTTCCAAAAGAGATGTCCCAAGAACAATGTACCAGGAAAAAGTAGAAAAATAGAAAAGAAGACCAATCTTTTACTTTTCTAATTTCTAATGTATTCCTTGAAAAACTATTCTCATTTATAAGGAATTACACTTCATATTACCTGAGTAATAGACCAAAAATAATGTAGTAAAAGTTCTTAAAAATTAGTATTTCCTTCCTTTTCTCCTTCTGGAAAATGTTCTATCCATAGGCACAAACGCGCACACACACACACACACACACACAAATGCACATACACTTACCATCTGGAGCATATTTTGAGGATATTCCTAAAATGACTGCAAGTGCAACAAAAAATGAAAAACTAGTTATAGCAAAGCAGATGAAAGTATTCTTGTGTCTCTTCTGCTTCCTGTCCCTCTGTGTTTGCTGTTCTTCAGGTGAGAACGCAAAGGTTGCCTGGGCTTCTTGTCTGATGGAGGTGGATTTGGCTGGCGCTTGGCTCTTTGGAGGAGGAGGGGGGCGCAGGGGGACAACCTTCCCTGGAACATAACCAGGTGAGCGATGACTGCTTCCATTCTGAGGTTGTACAAAAGCAGGGGACTGTTCCCTGGAACCAGTGGCATACATGATACCTTATCACTGTAAAAAAAAAAATTTTAAGTAAGATTCAGAATATGTAAAAGGTTATGGCACTTTATTATGGTAAAATATACATAACACTTGCCATCTTAACCAATTTTAGGTTCAGTGGCATTAAATACACACAAAGTTCCACTTCCAGGATTTTTTCATCGGCCCATCTATGCCCTTTAAGTAACTTCCCATTCCCTCCCAGACCCTAGTGACCACTGTGATGACTTTTTGAAAGTACTGTGTCAAGTCTGCTTACATCCCTGGTACAATAACTCTGTGGACAGTCACCTTCACCAACTGTCTTCTACCACTGCTGCTTCTCCACCCCAGCTGCACATTACAACCACCTGTTAATGCTAAGACCCAGGGACACACCCCAACAATTAAATCAGGATGTTTAAGCCTGGGATCCAAGCATCTGTATTTTTTAAATGCTCCCCAAGTGAATCTAATGAGCATCTAGAGCCAACTGTTCTCACTAACTGTTCTCAATTTTCAGTATGCAAAAGAATCACCAGGGAAGCTAGTTAAAAATGTAGATTCCTGGGCTTTTTGCCCCTGTGATTCTGGCTTATTTGATGTAGAGACTATGGGTTTTAAATTTAAAAAAATATACACATTGGTGGTACTGAAGCAAATTCACACTCTGAGTTCTGAGTGATAGGCATTCATGTTTGGGTGTTGAATTCTCCCACTAAATTCATCACATGGTTAAGAAATTTAAGTATTTCTACCTGTGTTCTCATTTAACTATATACTCTGAATCTACACAGAGAGAAGGTCTAAAGTCTATCCTATCTCTTTAAATCCTGAAATTGGATTTAACAAACAGTAGACATTCAAATAGTATGGTTCAGATAAAAAAAAATACAACAAATTTATAAGTACCATTATCCCCACTTGCCCATGAGAAATATAACTTCTCCAAATATCACACAGGCAGCAGAGAGAACCAGACACTCTGACTCTCAAGTTCAGGCTCTTGACAGTTATTCTACTGTATCTGGCCAAACAACAGAGAGGCAGTAACTCCAAAGAACACCTTTTGCAATAGTGTAATCAGAATTGTGCTGAGCTTGAGAGCACGTATTAATCTTCTCAGGCATTCTTCATGCAGAAGTTCACTGAACTATACAGTACATGATCCTTTTTTCATACACAATCATTATTCCCTGCTGCCAGCATCACCACCTCAGCTCTACCTCAAATCACAGGGCATTACTCTCATAAGAAGGGCCACAACCCAGATCCCTCACAGTGTAGGGTTCAGGCTTCTAAGACAATCTAAGGCTACCACTGCACTCAGGCCTAATGTGAGCAACAGGGAGCAGCTGTAAATACAGATGAAGTTACACCCAATCACTTGCTCCCTCACCATAGTTCCTAAGGGTTGGGAAGTCCTGCTTTGGAGTGAGGATCTATAAGAATAAGTTTTGAATGAAACTTGGCTAACTGTGAAAAAAGAAAAGGAGGGAGAGGGAAAGAAGATCTGGGTAGCTAAACCATAAATATCATATTGTAGTGACCATAAATACATAAGTACATGATGTTGGACTCTTCCAGTATGTCCACTCCTTAACAACTAGAGCCACCTGACTTCTTCCAATAACCTTACAATGAATCCCCCTCATCTTATGCCAAATAAAGAACAAGATTCTAGTTGTAAAGGTGGCCCAAACTGCTCTATACAATCAGCAAACCCATTAAATACAAACGGTCATTAGAGATGCCACAAATAAACATTCTTAAGACCCAAATGACCTGAAAATTTTGGGGGACAGAAAAGAAATCAGATCAAGAATTGATGTTGATTTTATTCAGGGCAAAGCCCATTCTCAAAGTGAGTGTGTCTGTGAAAAATAAATGGTTTGTGAGATTTTATTTGTGAACAAAAGTAATTATTTGGATGAAGCACATGCTTCATGACAAAGGAAAAACACCACCACTCAAGGTGCTGTTGGAGAAATTGCTGCATGTGCCAAGCAGCAGACAAAAATAATGGATAAATCATGCTTGAACAAATGAAAGAATACAACAAAGACTCCCTATACCCTCTATTTAAAAATGCAGAAACTGAACTAAATATTCTTGAGTGCCAGACTCATCTGGATGGGAAGGAAATCACAACCATAATCTGCTCTGAGAGGGAAGAGGAGTCCTTTGTGTCCTGGGTGCAATCATCTGATACCTCATTGTTTCAGGGTGAGAAAGGCTATCATTACTTAACAGGCTGAAGGGCCCGTTTGTGAAGATAATGTACCCACAAAAAAATAAAAGGCAGTGAGCAGCTCAATGGAGTAACCAGCCTACTGAGAATAATTTGTGCTTTCAAGGTCACAAAATGACAATCAGAAAATTCAGGTGATGTGCACCACAAACCAAAAAGGCATGCATGCATACATCCATGGGGGGGGGCCGCCGGGGGGAGGTTATTAGCTCTATTTTACCGAAACACATAAATGCATAACCATTCCTATCCTAGAAATTAAAAAATTAAAACAGAAAAAACAATATTTAAGCAGACAGTCCACTCAGTTCACTAAGATTTTTAAAAATATGATACAAATACATTACTTTTAAGATTTCATTTCACATGCATAGTACTATGAATCAATTATGTTAAAACCTACTGATCACTAGTTTTAGATCTAAATTATTCATGTCAAAAAACTACATTTCATTCACTGAGTAAGCAGCTGTGAGCTCTTGTTGTCGGAGGACAACTTCTAAATTCAATTTTAAACCAGCTGTATGGAAGGCAGAGTGAAAATTGACAAGGAAACACTTTAAATGGTGTTCAGCTTCCCAGGCTACCTCAACAATGCTGCTTAATCCATAAAGCCATTAGTACTACTTGAGGCATTTGTTTTGAGGGACAGAGGAGGGACCTCACAGAAAAAAAGATAATGAAGAGTTTACTCTGCCATTCAAGACTTCAATGCAAGCATGAGGTGCCATTTTAATTTGTCTACTGACCACTGTTTTGGTTTAATACAGGGTGTGTGTGTGTTTGCATTACATGTCTTTTTTAAAAGGCTTGTAATGAACCTTTCCTAAGGAGAAAGCACTTAGTACATAGAAAGGACACATCAATATTTTATGATAGTTTAAGGGCTGGTATACTCTGACAGGCCCTAAAATGAGATAGACAAGCCAAGAATGGGACATAATCCAAGTTATTCACATTGAAATTGAAAATGCATTCCCCAGTTTTTTAAAGCAAAATTTTTGGTATCTAGAGGTCCCTTGAAAGAATTACTGAGTACTTATTTACTGGATGATAAAAAGTGGTAGCCCAAAAGGCTTATTATAAATCAAAAAAGCAAGCAAACAACTAAAAATCTATACTGGCAGGGCTCAGGGTATAACTCAGTAATACAGCATTTGCATCGCACTCATGAAGATCTGAGTTCGATCCCCAGAACCAAAAGAAAAGTTTTTACACATGCAGTTTAGTCAAATATTAAAAGCAGACAATTAAATTACCAAGACTCTGAAAACAGCACATTAACTGAAAAGATAAAAACAAAAGACTAGGAAAATAAAACATTCAAAGAAGTACCTACTACTTTGAATTCTCACTTGTTCCCCAAAAGACACTTTAAAAATTCACTTTTAAGGACCGGGGATTCAGCTCAGTGGTTTCACCGCCTGCTGCGCAAGCGCAAGGACCCGAGGTTGCTCCCCAGTAGCAAAAAA